TAAACTAAACGTGTGCTAAACCGTAGACCTCCGAGGCTGTCAGTAAAATAAAACGTACCTAAAACTAATGCTCGAATCAACAAATAATATCAGGAAATCATTTTCTAATCAGCAGAGTCGCCCCAAAAAGTGATATACATTTTCTTATCTACAGGGACCATCCTAAAATCCATTAATAAGTTGTTATAATTACTAAAATCATATAATTGGATAATTAATGAAACCCGATGGACATAACAAGTGCAAGGACATCGTTATGCGCCGGCGCACACCCTCGCTATACTGTAGTAACATAAAAATTTCAATTTACAATGATTTATAACATTGCTATACAGTATCAGTCCATTCTAACCTTTTTTTATATTTTTACTAGCTACTCGCCCCGACTTCGCACGGGTGTACACGTATTACATCTATTAAACTATCGCGAAGGTTCATATATTAGGTATATCTATGTATGAATTTCTTTCCTTCTCTTAATTATTAACGTCCTCTAGTTTCTTATTTATTAAAGAAACTAGCTACTCACCCCGGCCTCGCCCGGGTGTACTACGTGTACAAACCTACGTGTTTATATATATAAACCTTCATCTCGAATCACTCTATCTATAAATAAACCGCTTCGAAATCCGTTGCGTAGTTTTAAAGATTTAAGCATACATAGGGATGGACAGACAGCGACAACGACTTGTTTTGTACTGTGTATGTAATGATAACGCTAAATGTGGTGGTGATCCAAAAACGATGGAATGTGATGAAATGGTGGTGACCATCTCCTAATCGTTTAAACAGCAAGACAGCAACTGTGTTGCTATTCCGTAGTACTAAAACATCATGCCTATTTTATCTTAATCATTACATAGTATAAAACAAAGTCGCTGTCGCTGTCTGTCCCTATGTATGCTTACATCTTTAAAACTACGCAACGGATTTTAAAGCATTTTTTTTAATAGATAGAGTGATTGAAGAGGGAGGTTTATGTATATAATACATGTACACCCGGGCGAAGCCGGGGCGAGTAGGCAATAATATTATAAATATATATATATATGTTTGTGAGTATAGATGGATGTATGTTTGTTACTCTTTCACGCAAAAACTACTAAACAGATTCTGATAAAACTTTACAATTATATAGCTTATACATCAGAATAACACAGAGGCTATAATTTAAAAAGATATAATATGTACATTATGTATGTATTTACAAAAAATATATCTAAGCAATTATATCACTTGTCTAGTATGTATAACACAAGCTCTGCTTTGTGCTAGACAGATGACTAAACTAGATGGCGCTGTGTGAATTGTCCTGAGATATTATTATTATAAATTGTTTTCAAAGTCTATACTTTTTCTATTGTATTCTAATGACATAATACCACTTACCAACCACAGTAGGGTAACAATAACATCCAGAAACTTCTATTTAAATATAAAAAGCATCATCGACGGACAATCGTACAATTTGACATTACCGAGGGGAGCTGCATCCGGCCGCGTTTCCTCTCGGTATTTGGGTTCGATTCCGGTGTATTGGTCGCTGTGCTGGATATTTATTGTTTATGTATATTTAGAAATGACTTTGATACTATTATTTATAATACTAAATAATAAATGTCTGTAGGTACTAATATTTTCAATGCAAAAGCGTGTATATCTGTTGTTTTGTTTTTGTTTCGTACCTCACGACTATGCGGTTTGTTATTTAATGTAATTTTAGATTAATATAGATTTTAACAGTAGAGAAAATATATTAATAAAAAAAACTTGACGTTTATAAGCGGCTAAAATGTCCTACATGAAATATTATTTTTGATTTGATATGAAACTAATTTATTTATTTACTCAAGCAAATAAATAAATTAGTTTTGTATAAAAGTATAGACAAAATCGCGGATAGCAGTTAGCGATGTAAATGCAAAAGTGAGTCTGTCTGTTGATAACGTTTGTTCTGTTTTCTTTTAAGCTATATGATAAGCTATATTCGCCCTTACTTTGTAACTTTTTTGCTCTACCTTCTACTATACCTAGTTATAAACGTAGGTATTCTAAGGCTAATTAATAAAAAAATACACTATTTTTTAGCAAATATTATATTTACAATACAATTTTGTTTTCATAATAATAACAAACGAACACAAAATACTTTTTTTTAAATTACTATTTGTAAAAAAAAAACCCAAAACTGTTTCCAACCTCTGACTCATTAAAAAAGAAACATATTTTTCTCAATAGCATAGCGTACAGGAAGTAAACGGGAACACCTGCGGACGATTCACGGGCTTACTTCCGGTCCTCCGCCATCTTGTACGCCATTACAGTTAATTACTCACTGAAGGGAGCTCACTAGTGTTTTCAGCTGAAAAAGGAAATGCTCTTCAGGAAAATGTTTACGACCTCTGACTTTAGAAATAATAATGTAAGAATAGAGTATACATATGTATGTATACATGTATAGTAGTATACTGGGTTAATACTGAATGGAATACTGAAGTTTTGTTAGATGGATGAAAATAATCATTACATAATGTTGGGTTTTGTAATAATGGCTTGATTTTAAAAACTCCCGCCCACCTGTACTCGAACAAACGTTGGTTCGAGAGTTTACGCATGCGGCCGCATGCGCACTGAGCGCCACTGTCGCTTGAACATCAAGATCGAGAACGAGGCTGCGAGTGCTTTATCTTAATTATTAATTCAAATAGCAAATTAAGTGGACGAAACTAAGGACTTCACTTTGTAAACTATTTAATAACATCAGACAGTGTTAGTGTGTGTATAAATATTTGATATTTTATATTCACACAGAAATGTGGTGTTGGAGAAGAATGGAAAGATAAAATAAGGAATGAAGAAGTGCTTGAGGGGATTAAAGAAAAGAGACAGATCATAGATATTATTGAGGATAGGCGGGGAAAAATGTTGGGGCACTTGATACGGCACGACAAACTAATTAACAACATTATAGAAGGAATAGATGGAAAGAGAGGAAGGGGAAGACCAAGACACAGCAATCAAGCAAGTTAAAGAAAAAGCTGGAGTCGTGTCGTATCAACAGCTAAAGGGACTGATAGAAGATCGTGGAAGGTGGCGTGAGCTCCACCGACAAGAGCACAGCTCTTAAATTATGAATGAATGAATGAACAGAATCTTAAAAATCTAACGCTGAACAACATTAAAAAGTGCAACACGCAAATTTCTGGCTCCTTCTTCTTGTAATGAGTTTGCGTTTCGAATGAGTGGTATCAAAAGTATATGACTAATTAAATGTGCTTATATTAAGTTTATTTTAATAAAGATTTATTCTATTAATATGAACATTTTTAAATACAATTTTTTTATATTTCCCATAGATTCAGCAAACATTTTCTTTCATAGAAATATCCAAATATAAATTAAATGGCTAAATACAATATCATCATCTGCTTCATCCTAATTCCATCTATTTGGGGTCGGTGTAATATGTTAGCCAAATAGAACAATTATAGAAACATAGAAATAAAATTAAAATTAAAAAAAAGGAAAAAAAATGCATTTTTCGGACGTGTTCCGAAATGATCGAAGGTTACTCTGAATGTGAACGGCTCGTTTTAGGAAAGGAAAAACTAATATAAAAGATGAACAGAAAAAATTGTTTATTGCAAAATTTCTAAAATATATAATGACAAAAAAATACGACATTCTCTCTATTCAAAAAATGACATAGAAAAAATAATTGTACATAAAACCTCAACACTGAATGAAGGAAAAGTTGTGTCCAGTTTTCTTTGCCTGCCCCGTAAATAATGTATCGTGAATATATATGTTAATATTTACAAGAGGAAATACTCCAGATAGACTTCACAAAAACCGGTTAAAAATCAACCGGAGCCACAATATCTTGCTAAGAAACACTTTCCCGCGGCCGGGTATGTTGGGGGAGGCGCCCGCCGTGACGACTGCATCGATCCGTCACGCCCCGCGCCTCAATCGATACCCGGGTGTGACCGGTTTGTTTTGATTTTATCCGGCCTATCAAACCGATGCTACAATATGATGCTCGTACTGTTTAATACCCGGTTATGACCCGGATCATTTGACCCGGGTAAAAACCGGTTAATACAATTATCAACTACTATTTTTGGTTTTAAATATTAGTTTAGCTTTGTAAATGACAAAAGATTTATAATATTTTTTTTCATAAATTACCAAAATAGATTTTACTACTTGTTACATCGAAGGTTACAATATCAACTTTCTTAAGGTTTAATGACAATGAATGTCCATTTCCAATCGCCATGAGAGATAATTTTTGAGAGCAATATTAATATATAAATCTGCTGTAGAGTAGTCTAGATCTTGAGCTGTTACTGCTGCTACTTGAGCTGTTGTTCAAATTTCAAAACCTTGTTTAATTTTAAATTAAAATCTAGTACTTTACTAAGTAGATTGCTTGGGCTTTGTCTCGCCTTTGTCTCACCTATTTCTGCCGTGAAGCAACCTGTTTTAAAGATGTTGTGTTTCTGTTATAATGAATAATAAGGCAGTTAAACTACAGCATACGTGGCAACCACTCAAGTCTTTCGAAAACATACATATAGATAAAATCTTTCAGTTCGTTGTTTTCATTTTTTTTATAACGTTATTAATTTATATGGCAAAAACAACGTTTGCCGGGACAGCTAGTTATTATATAATAGTCCACCTGATGTCTATTTTTTTGTATTTGTTTGTATTCCTTTAAATTCATGAACTACTCCAATGAGTTAGTTCCCAGGAGCTCTTTCTACTAGTCTCTGGATGTCACATGTTTTAAGTCGAGAGAATCTTAGACTCTCCGATCCCTGCAGTTGTGTGGCCAGTTCATTTCGGTGTCCATTTAATCTAGACTGGTAGCTTTTACTAGACCTACATGAGTAAAAATATTATGATTTGATTCAATGGAGGTCAGTTTCCTTGCTCTTCCACATCTTCATTACTATCTACCTGTTCCTTATCATTTAATCTTTCTTCATCAGGTCACGGAGGCGTCAATCAACTAGGTGGTGTGTTTGTGAACGGACGACCCTTGCCTGACGTCGTGCGACAACGGATAGTAGAGCTGGCGCACAGCGGCGTGCGACCGTGCGACATCAGCCGCCAGCTGCGGGTGTCGCACGGCTGCGTCTCCAAGATACTGTCCAGGTGTGTGACTATCTGTATTACATAATAGTAGTATTTATGAACTTACAACTGTTGATCGATGTCGTGCGACAACGGATAGGAGAGCTGGAGCACAGCGGCGTGCGACCGTGCGACATCAATTATCAGCTACGGATATCGCACGCCTATGTCTCCAAGATACTGTCCTGGTGTGTGACTATCTCTATTACATAATAGTAGTATTTATGAACTTACAACTGTTGATCGATGTCGTGCGACAATGGATAGTAGAGCTGGCGCATAGCGGCGTGCGACCGTGCGACATCAACTATCAGCTACGGATGTCGCACGACTGGTCTCCAAGATATTGTCCAGTGTGTGACTATCTCTATTACATAATAGTAGTATTTATGAAGTTACAACTGTTGATCGATGTCGTGCGACAACGGATAGGAGAGCTGGAGCACAGCGGCGTGCGACCGTGCGACATCAATTATCAGCTACGGATATCGCACGCCTACGTCTCCAAGATACTGTCCTGGTGTGTGACTATCTCTATTACATAATAGTAGTATTTATGAACTTACAACTGTTGATCGATGTCGTGCGACAATGGATAGTAGAGCTGGCGCATAGCGGCGTGCGACCGTGCGACATCAACTATCAGCTACGGATGTCGCACGACTGGTCTCCAAGATATTGTCCAGTGTGTGACTATCTCTATTACATAATAGTAGTATTTATGAAGTTACAACTGTTGATCGATGTCGTGCGACAACGGATAGGAGAGCTGGAGCACAGCGGCGTGCGACCGTGCGACATCAATTATCAGCTACGGATATCGCACGCCTACGTCTCCAAGATACTGTCCTGGTGTGTGACTATCTCTATTACATAATAGTAGTATTTATGAACTTACAACTGTTGATCGATGTCGTGCGACAATGGATAGTAGAGCTGGCGCATAGCGGCGTGCGACCGTGCGACATCAACTATCAGCTACGGATGTCGCACGACTGGTCTCCAAGATACTGTCCAGGTTTGTGACTACATATCTGTGCCATATTAGTGTACGTGGTCGGATGACCGATGCCAGACATGTGACAGCGGATAGTAGAGCTGGCACAAACAGTCAGACATACATACATACATTTCGCAATATTAGTATATATTTGACGACTTCGGTTGTCTTGCAGTTAGTTCACCGATCTATTTCCTAAGACTCCGAGTTGTACGGTACAAACTTTTGTATTCATAAGTATAATCATACTTACATCCGATACCGATACAAACAATCGTTTGTATCGGTATCGGATGTTTTCTATGTGTAAATATTTATAAAAGAAAATGTATCTATACAATAATAATAAACCTGTACAATTAATACAGCGCCATCTAGTTCCATGGTAAGCAGAGCTTGTGTTATGGGTACTAGACAACTGATTCATTCATAATTTAAGAGCTGTTCTTTTGTCGGTGGAGCTCCCGCCACCTTCCACGATCTTCTATCAGTCCCTTTAGCTGTTGATACGACTCCAACTTTTTCTTTAACTTGCTTGATAGACAGCTAATATAAATACTTATTTATATATATATATATATATTTGTAAATACATACATGATATACATAGGTAACATCCAGACCGATACAAACAATCATACTCATGAATACAAATGTTCATACCGTGCGAGGAATCGAACCAGTGACTATGGGAAATAAAGCGGTGTGCTAAACTAAACTACCGAAGTGGTTAAATTATATATACTTGCATAAGTTGTATAATACCCATAACACAAGCTTTACTTAGCTTGTGACTAGATGGCGTTGTTTAAAACTGTATTGAGACTATATTATTATTGAATAACCTCTGATTTAAAAAAAATGCTACTGACTAAGTAGCATTTCTTTAAGAATCAGAGTGATCAAAGCGCAGACGTATACACTGTTCCCTTTCGGCGCAATGCAACACGTACAGACAGACGATCCATAAAACACCGTCATGGGTGGTGAACAAACCGGCGCGTGCGCCTACTTCGCCGTATCCGGTTCTCTAGGGTTGCCACTAACGAATTAAACAGTTATCTAACGACTAATAACACGTCCAGGCTTCGTCCATCGCATGGCAAACATTCTGACCCACTGCAGTCCACACCACAAATTAAACTACTAACTCGCTCAACTTTGTGCACCTTCGAATGGCAAATACTGACGGAACACCCAGTGCAGTCCACTGCTGCATATAAGCCTCTCCTCAGGCTTGACACGATCTACTGCCAGCGGTTTAGCCCACTGCCTTAGCTACCACCTTCCGATGGTCGCGAATTCGATTCCTCGTACAGTACAAACATTTGTATTCATAAATATGTTTGTTAGTATCGATCTGGTTGTTTTCAATGTATATTATGTATGTATTAAAAAAATGTATCAGTTATCTAGCGCACATAACATAAGCTCTGCTTATATTGGGACTAGATAGAGCTGTGTGAATGTGGGAAACATATGTTTTACTAGCTATTTTTCTAAGATTTCGTTTTTCTTTTAGATTAGATAAAAAGTCTGCCCCTCCTCGAAATACAACCTACGTTTACACCAAATACCTCTGTTCAGGTATTTAATAGTAAAAATGTAACAGACAAACAACCTTTCTCTGCTGTTCGCTTAGATCTCTTAAACTACGCAACAGATTTTGCAATTTTTAGCAATAGGTATAATGATTCAAGAGGCAGGTTTATATGTGATATAAATGGATACCCATGCAAAGTCGGGGCTAATCTTATTAATATTATGAACGCGAAAGTTTGTGAGTTTGGATGGATGTTTGTTACTCTTTCACGCAAAAACTACTAAACGGATTTTGTTGAAAATTTATAGTGATATAGCTTATACATCAGAATAAGATATAGGCTATAAATTTCATGCAAGCGCAACCGCGGGCATAGCTAATAAGTGATAAATTATAATCTATACATATAAATAAAATTGGAGTGTCTGTTTGTAATATTGAAATAACCGTTTTTTACTACATGCATATGAATATAAATACAGTACATACATCAAAGTAACTTTTTTTACAATTTTTGTCTGTCTGTCTGTCTGTCTGTTTGTTATAGCTAATCTCTGAAATGGCTGGACCGATTGTGACGGGACTTTTTTTGACAGGTAGCTGATGTAATAAGGAGTGACTTAGGCTACTTTCATTTTAGAAAAATAAAGTTAAATTCCACGAGGACGTAGTCGCCAGTGCAGCTAGTATTAATATAAAATTGTGGACAACCCTAACTCGTCTGGTACACTTATGTCATTTTCTTTTGTTCTCCGTTTGTGTAACGCATCTCTGCAGTAATTGGCCGCCACTGTAATTTGTATTGTCATCTAGTTTTTGCTTATTCTACATGAAGCTAAATATATTTTGGGACAATTGTTTGGCGCGCGCCAGAAGCGTCATTATAATCATTACATTTATGTCATCAAGTATATACTGAGCATTAAATCTATTTTGTGCATTTTGTATATTTCATTAAAATGTTCTAGTGCTTCTAGATATATCTAGAATCCTTACATAGTATACAATGATCGCATCCGGTCTCTGTTCGCTTAAACCTTTCACTGTAATTTGTATTGTCATCTACTTTTTGCTAATTTTATCATGGAGCTGAATATATTTTGATACAATTGTTAGGCGCGCACCAGGAGCGTCATTATAGTCATTAACATTTATATCATCAGTATATACTGAGCATTAAATCTATTTTGTGCATTTTGTATATTTCATTAAAATGTTCTAGTGCTTCTAGATATATCTAGAATCTTTACATAGTATACAATGATCGCATCCGGTTTCTGTTCGCTTAAACCTTTCACTGTAATTTGTATTGTCATTTGCTTTTTGCTAATTTTAACATGGAGCTAAATATATTTTGGGACAATTATTTGGCGCGCGCCAGAAGCGTCATTATAATCATTACATTTATGTCATCAAGTATATACTGAGCATTAAGTGTATTTTAAAAACTTTGTACACTTCATTAATATTCTAGTGCTTCTAGATATATCTAGAATCTTTACATAGTATAGAAGTCGCTTCCACTTTCAGTATCCCACCGATACGTATATATAAAGAAAAGTGTACTTATAAATCTTAGAATGTAAGATATATTGGTGGACCTGGTGTACTGTGAGGTTTTTCGGATACCTTATACAGGCACCAGTTCTCCACAAATTTGTATTGTCGTATTAAATTTTAGATAAAAAATGACTCTGTTACACTATATAAAATCTTAATAATATTATAAACACGAAAGTTTGTTAGTATGGATGTTTGTTACGCTTTCACGCAAAAACTACTGAACGGATTTTGATTAAACTTTACAGTAATTTGGCTTATGCATCAGAATAACATATAGGCTATATTTTTTATATTTATTAAATATATATTAATATTTTTATTTCCATCTTGTTATAAACCTGCTCACAACACGTTCGTTGCGATCGCGAGCTGCTCGTATAATGTCCTTTTTATCTGAATCACTGGTCATAGGTCGCCATCTTGTGCCGCACTACTCTCGAAAACCTGAAGTGATAACAATCTATAATTTTAATTTATTTGTTAAGAAAATGTTTTATAAATAGTTCTAATTTACCATTACAGTTAAGTTTCTACTGCCTCCTGTTAAACTCTACTATCAATATATTAAACCGACTAAGTTAAACGTCCGACTCATTTGCGGTTACCCGATGCTTAACTGCAGTTATCTAGCTAAGTTTACTAAGCCACAGAACTTGAATGCCAACCGAATAGCTTAGATGTACTAATGAATGTAATCTAGTATATACATTTCAATGGTATATACTAATCTATACATATAAATAAAATTGGAGCGTCTGTTTGTAATATTGAAATAACCGTTCTTTACAACATGCATATGAATATAAATACGGTACATACACAAAAATAACATTATTTACAATTTGTCTATCTATCTGGTTGTTCCGGCTAATCTCTGAAATTACTGGACCGATTTTGACCGTCCAATTTTATTTA